TATGTTCTTTCACCGTTTTGCTAAAGTTTGGGAATTGGAATTTGGGTAGAGGGGAGATTGTGGATCGACTAATTTTCGCCAGTTAATATAGTATCATGAGACGTAAAACTATAAAACTATAAGTAATTAATTGTAATTCAAGATTATCACTTTCTTATGAAAACACTTATTATGTACCCCTAGCTATAAAAAGTCAACTTTTACAAGGTAGTTTCTAAAGATAATAAAATCTAGGATATCGTTTTCAGGATTCTATCCAGATGTGTTTATTTATGCATAATTTACTTACAATATATACATTTAAAGACCAAATTATATATGGGGGTCTGAGGTCTAATATTTAAAAAGTGCTCTATACGTTCGAGTTCGAACAACACAATGTAGCACAAGAACATTCAAAATGACGTAGCTACCTTGCTTCAAATGGTAAGATGAGAAATTAATGTAACCCTTGAAACTTCCTAAGTCTATTTTGTGTCAAAATTTTACAGTGCAGTAAATTTTTAGATTAGGTCATATGCTGCCACCACAAAGTCACTGTAATGACCGGGGCAAATTGCGGTATTGTGTTCATCTTAAACTAGTATTTTTGAATCAGCGTATATATAAATTTATTATAATTATAACAAATAATATATATTAATAATTTTTAAAAATACAATAAATTCAATGCTAAAAACCTTTAAAGTTGATCCATCCGCTTCTGATTGTAATTGCTGAAACGAACACTAAACCCTTAAAACCTAAAAGCCTAAAACCTATACGAACATTAAGTTTTATCCCAGTCTTCAAAATGTCCCCGAGTAAAAGCTACATATAAATTAAACAGCATGTTCAACCTTAATAAGTAAAACTGTCAAGAAAAATAAAACCCTAGTGTGGCTGGACAGTGAAATACACAGCCAACACAGTAAAAATAAAACCCTAATCGTTACTTGTGCCTTAATTTATTCTAATAAACCCTTCCCTCTCTCATGTGACTACATTTTCTTTAAGCCCTACTCCCAAAACGCACCCACTACGCCTTTCTCGATAACAAAATCACCCTTATCTTTTACTACAGATATTTTCACATAGAGCAGTAAAAAGAATACAAATTAGTACTAAAATTTACTATCCTGTTTTTAACTTTACCCTTTAAGAAAAGGAAAAAACAAAGACCGATGCTCTAATTAAATTTCCTCTAATTGCACGCCCTCCGCTTAAATCATTGTCATTATATTAATATTTGAATATGAATTTCATGTTGGAGGACATATTGTTTATGTAAGAAAGTTTAGTATAATAGTACTACTTGAGTTTTCAGAAAATAGACATTGAATTTGTTGCTTAATTAATTCGAATTCCCTCTCTTTTACCTTTCACAATCTCCTAAGCTAGCTGCCTCACTCCTATATCATACTCCATCAAAGTTTCTCATCTTCCCTAGGCACTCTTGCAAACTAACCCCCTCCCCCTACCACTCCCCCCCCCCCCCCCTAAAAAAAAAAAAAAACTCGAATGGTTTACTAGGTCTTGCGATAGGAAAGGGAAGATATATTATAAAAGTTTTAGTAAAATTAATGGAACTTTCTTGAAGAAGAATTGTTATGATTCATTTGTAATTAGGATTACATTTCACTGTAGCTTTCATTTTCGAATTTGCAGTTACAGTAGTAATAACTGAGTTAGTTAAATCAGTGAGACACATGCACGTGAGGGGCACATGACTTCCTAAAGTTAGTTGTAACTAACTTTCTCTCCCCAGATTCCCTCGTCTATATCAATTGGAATCATTTCCAATTGTACACGTGATTTTACTGCTGTTGATCAACAATAGTTCTCTCTCTATGTCTCTCAGTACTTTTCCAGTTCTTCGAGTGATTGTTCAAGAGCAATTCTCTCAATTTTACCTTTCAGGTCTCTCGATTCAGTCTTCACTTTTGGAGATTGTATCATTGGTATCAGAGCTTTCCTTTCCTTGGATCTGTGAGTGGAAATGAGTGAGCACAATACGAGAATTCAAGAGTTACGTAGAGATCTCGATTGGCTTCGTGGATCCTTTGACGGCATCAGTGGTAGTATGGAGGATTTGAGGAAGACTGTAGATGAGAAGCTGGCGGCGTCTATGGAGGAATTTAGAAGGATCTTACTGACGACTGTTGGTAATCTAGGCCAACAGATGAAACTGCTCCTAATAGACCTGGTGCAAGAAGGGTGGAAGATGAAGAAGTTGCTCCTGAAGTTGTTAGGGCTCGAAGGGATGAAGGTACCAGCTTCCTATCGGAGTTCATCAACTGTAATTTCCTAGGTTCGATGGAGTAGGCTTGCGTGATTGGCTGTATCAATGTGAGCAGTACTTTGAAGTGACTGAAACTCCAACAACCTCAAGAGTTAAAATGGCTTCCTACCGGCTCGAAGGTAAGACTCTTCAGTGGCATCACGTTTATATGAAGACTAGAATTACTAGAGAATGGCCTAGTTGGGGGGGGGGGAGGGGGGATATGTGAGTAGTTTATATTCTAGGTTTGGATCTGAACTTTTTGATGATCCGATGAGAGATTGAAAGACCTGAGACAGACCACCACCGTGCAGGATTACATAGATGTGTTTGATGAATTGCTAACTCGAGTAGAGTTAAGTGAAAAGTATATTGTTAGCTATTTTTTGAGAGGTCTTAAAAGAGAAATTGGACTACCAGTAAAAATGTTTGCTCTTAGATCCTTACAAAAAGCCATCAGCCTTGCAAGTATCAAAGAAGAAACACTACTTATTCAAAAAGAAACTCTGGGAACTACCCCAATTCTTTTACAGCCTAGACATGTCCAAAGAATTCCAAATAACACTCATAACAGAAACAAAACCTATCCTCTCTATCCTTAAACCAACCAAAACTTCCAAAGACCCTAGAACTCTCAAGCTGGAACCAGCAAAACCATATATAAAAATCCCAAATTCTTGAGTCCTGCAGTGATGAAGGAGAAGAGAGCTAAGGGCCTTTGTTTCCATTGTGATGAGAAGTATACACCTGGACATGTGTGTTCTAAGAGAAGGCAGTTATTATCCAATGAAGTAGAGGAACCAATAGAAGAAGTAAGGGATGAGGAAATAGACATGAGATTCAGTCCTTCTGAATTCTTATGTTTGGAGGGAGTAGATGGACATGTAGATTCTGAGGGAGCTGTCTTAGCTTATGTATCAGTGCATGCTATCACTGGTATGTATAATTTCAGGACAGTATTCAAGACTATGAGGGTCACAGGGTCTGTGAAGGGTAAAGTTGTTAAGATCCTCATTGACACATGCAACACACACAATTTTAGATCTTTAGACAGCCAAGGGGATGGGGTTTTACTTGACTCAAATATAGCCCTTCTCTGTGTCTGTAGCAGATGGTAACAAGATGTACAGTGGGTCCCTTGTGCAAGGATTTTAAGTGGAAGATATAAGGAGTGCAATTCCTATTTGACATGTTAACACTTCCCTTGGGAGGTGTAACATGGGAATACAATGGCTCACTACTCTAGGAGATATTCTTTGGAATTTCCAAAAATTGAGAATGGAATTTAAACATAAAGGTCAGAAGGTGTCATTGAGAGGCATTCAACCATCAACTTTGAAATTGGTAGAGTAAAGGCAGATGCATAGGCTCTTAACCAAACCAGTTGAATTGTCCATGATGTATGTTTGTATTTTCACAGCAGACCCTGATTCTGAACCATGCCTATAGAGTTTAGAAGGACACTACTATGTGGAGGAAGACAAAATAAGGTTGCAGGAGGTACTAGAGGAGTACAATGATCTGTTTAAGGTTCCTACAGGTTTACCTCCACATATGGATCATGACCACATAATAGTATTGAAGGAGGGCGCATCTCCTATCAATATCAGTCCATATAGATATCCCAACATTCAAAAAGAAGAAATTGAAAATATGGTTGATGAGATGATGACTGCTGGTGTAATTAGGGATAGTACCAGTCCCTATTCTTCACTAATTTTCATGGTGAAAAAGAAGTATCGAAGCTGGAGGATGTGTGTAGATTAGAGGGAACTTAATAGCCATATTGTTTAGGATAAGTTTCCAATCCCAGTTTGTAAGAACTACTTGACAAGCTACATGGTGCCAAGTTCTTTTCTAAGCTGGATTTTAGGTCAAAGTACCATCAAATCCGCATGTTTGAGGATGACATTTCTAAAACTGCTTTCAGAACTTATCAGGGCCATTTTGAGTTGTTAGTTATGCCATTTGGCCCTACCAATGCCCCATCTACTTTCCAGAGTTTGATGAACAAAATCTTTCAGCCCTACCTCAGAAAATTCATTCTTGTCTTCTTTGATGATATTCTAATTTACAGTGCCTCCTGACAAGATCATCTATAACATCTGAAGCTGGGTTTTAACGTTCTGAGATCTCACACACTGTTTATTAATAAAAGCAAGTGTGCATTTGGTGAAATTCAAGTTGACTATTTAGGTCACTTAATCTCTGCATTTGGTGTTGCTATGGATCCAGACAAGGTGAGTGCACTACTCACTTGGCCCATGCCCAAGACCATCAAAGCATTGAGAGGTTTCCTAGGTCTAACTGGCTACTACAGAAGGTTCATCAAGGGGTATGACACCATTGCCAAACCACTTACTGATTTGCTCAAAAAGGGAAATTTCATTTGGAATGATGCTGCTACCCAAGCTGTTGAAAAGCTGAAGGAACTTATTACTTTAGCTCTTGTTTTGGCACTACCAGACTACACTAAATAATTTGTAGTTGAAACTAATGATTCAGGAGATGGTATATGAGCATTATTGACAAAAGAAGGAAGGCCTATAGCCTTTTATAGTAAAGGGTTATCTGCTAAGAATAAAGCTCTATCTATCTATGAGAGAGAGCCACTGGCATTGGTGAGCTCAATGTAGAAATAGAGACCCTACTTGCTAGGAAGACCCTTTACTATCAAGACTGATCATCACAGTCTTAAGTACCTATTGGAGTAGAGAATCACCACCCCAAGTCAGCAGAAATGGTTGGTCAAATTACTGTGGTATGCTTACACCATATCTTACAAAAAGGGCAAGAAGATACTGTTACTGATGATTTTTCTAGGAGAGAGGATTCAATCCAGTTATATAGCATCTCTGGGTATCAGGTAGAGTTGTTGGATGAGGTCAAAAATTCTTGGCAAGTGGATCCTACACTAAATCTCTCATTGCTAAGTTGCAGTCTGGTTCACCTGTTAAGGCTCACTACAAGTGGCAAAATGGCATTCTGAGCAGGAAAGGCAAAATTATGGTAGGTGCTGATGAGAAACTGAGGAAGAAACTGGTAGCTTCCTATCATAGTAGTTCCATTGGAGGTCATTTAGGCATTTCAGCCACCTTGCATAGATTGAAGCAAGGTTTTTATTGGAAGAAGATGAAGCAGACTGTTTATGCTTTCATCAGAGAATAAGACACATTTCAGAGGTGCAAGCATGAGAATGTAGCTTATCCAGGTTTGTTGCAGCCCCTCCCCATTCCATCAATGGTATTGCAGGACATTTCTATGGATTTCATTGAAGGCCTACCCAAAGCTAGAGGCAAGGATGTCATTTATGTGGTCGTGGATAGGCTAAGTAAGGATGCACACTTCATTCCTTTAAGGCACCTGTACTCAGCCTTGGAAGTAGCCCAAGCCTTTATGGACAACATCTTTAAGCTACATGGCATGCCCAAGTCGATTATGGCAGACATGGATGTGGTTTTTATAAGTAAGTTTTGGAAGGAATTGTTCAAGCTTTAGAAGGTTGACCTGCTCACTTCTACTGCCTACCATCCCCAAATATACGGTCAAACAGAGGTGCTTAACAGATGTTTGGAGTGTTATCTCATGTGCATGACATTTGATAGACCAAAAGAGTGGCCTCAGTGGTTATCCCTGGCTGAATGGTGGTACAATACCTCCTATCACTCTGCCACAAAATGACTCCTTATGAGGTTGTATTTGGCCAGCACCTCTACCTCTACTCCCCTACATGTCCTTCGACTCTCAGCTAGAGGCTGTGGATAGAGGTTTACAAGCAAGAGAGGCTACTTTGAGAGCTGTGAAAGCTCACCTGCTCAAAGCTCAAGATAGGATGAAGGCTCATGTAGATAAAGGCAGAACTGACAGAACCTATGCAGTTGGGGATTTGGTATACGTTAAATTACAACCTTATAGGTAGCTTTCCTTGAAGGATCACTCTTTTCAAAAGCTTTTTGCTAAGTTTTATGGGTCGTTCCAGATCACTCACAAAGTTGGAGTTGTTGCCTACGCACTAGCCTTACCAACTCATTCAAAGATTCATCCTACCTTCCACATATCCCAGCTCAAGAAGAAGATTGGCAACCACCTAATTTCACCGGTCCTACCTACTGTTCATACTGAACATGGTTATGTTCTGATGGCTTCTGAAGCTATTTTGGATAGACGCCTAGCTCAAAAACATGGGCGTGCTACTACTCAAACACTTGTCAAATGGCTCAACACAGGACTAGAGGACAACACTTGGGAGGATCTACATGACTTCCAACTGAGATTTCCCCATTTCAATCCTTGAGGACAAGGATTGTTTGAAGAAGAGGGTAGTTGCTATGATTCATTTGTAATTAGAATTACATTTCATTGTAGCTTTCATTTTCGCATTTGCAGTTACAGCAATAGCAGCTGAGTTAGTTAAATCAGTTAGACACAGGCACGTGAGGGCACATGGCTTCCTAAAGTTAGTTGTAACCAACTTTTCCTCCCCAGATTCCCTCGCCTATATCAGTTGGAATTATTCCCAATTGTACACGTGATTTTACTGCTATTGATCAACAATATTTCTCTCCCTATCTCTCTCAATACTTTTCCAGTTCTTCGAGTGACTGTTCAAGAGCAGTTCGCTCAATTTTGCTCTTTAGGTCTCTCGATTCACTCTTCACTGTTGGAGATTGTATCAAGAATCCTTATGGTTGTGTACTCAAGAGATCACCTATTAAAATTGTGCAAATAACTTCTTAGTACATCAATATGTAAAGTGAGACAAGATACAATAAATTCTCTTCTCAATCCTCTTCTCGAATATAGTGGGGGCTTGATGCAACAAACTATCTTTTATGTTTTTGTTTCCGCATAAATGAGAGTAGAAGTTAGCACTTAAACCATACATATGGGTGATTGGAATATTTTTTGTCAATGGTCAATTTGGTGTCAATTTTTTTAAAAACAGACTAGCTTTTATTTCAATAATGATAAGTTAAATCAATTCTTTAAAAAATAATTAGCACTGTTCTAATATAAAAACAAACCAAACAAGTAACTGGAAAAGAAAAGAAAGACGAAAGAAATCTCGAGAGCTAGGGTATAACGTAGCAAAACTTGGTTATAACATATACCACTTTTAAATGAAGTTTCAAGAAGCACCAAAAGAGAGAAATGGGTCGATAATAATATCCCTACAGGCTACAGCCAATTATGAGATTAATACACCTAGCTCTAAATGGCAATTTTGGGTCTTAAACTGCCCCCTTACTCTAGTACTTACCCTTTAAATGAATGACATACTTAATTATTATCTGTACAATTTGGAATTTACTCCAAAACCAAAAAGAAATAAATAAGTACTATATATTGTATTCATAAATTAGTCACTTTGTTCAATAAAAACTTATAAAATAAACTCTTTACTATTTAAATGTATAGCTCCATTTGTTTCCTCTTTAGTTTCTCAAGAACTGTTTCAACACAAGGAAAGAAACAACACTAATCTTCTCCGCCACCAGCTATCACCGGCCACCGCCATCAACCACCGCTTACCACCGTCATGAAACAACAAGAAAATGCAAAAATGACTAAAGCTTTTGTTTCATGCTAGTGACCATCTTCACCACCACCATTAGTAGCTAGCTAGCGCCACCGTGTAGGGCGGAGCAAGGAGGAGGAGCTCATTATCTCCGGTAAGGAAGCTCAGAAAATAACTTTAATAAGTAGCATTTTCATTAGTAAATGTTTCATTAAAGATACTACACAAGAACTTTAAGTTTCACATGCATGGTAAAATTTTCAACTAGAGTTAGTGTGAGTTTGAAGCAAAACTCCATCAGCAAACAACAACCTCTTTAATCTTTCACATGCATGTTGTCTCCTAGAGTAAACTTTCAAACACCATTCTACTAGAATCCCATTTCTTGTTTTTCACTGTTTTCTCCATTTCCAAAAAAGCTCAATAATGGAGAAGAAAAACCACCATTTTCTCACCTCTTCTTCTTCAGCAACTTTCACTTCATGTTATTTCTTGTTTTTCTTCTTCTTTTGGGTAAGTTTGAGTCCAAAAACAGTAGTTTTAGTTAGCTCTGTTTCATCTGATGGACAAGCACTGCTTTCTCTTCTTAAAGCAGCTGACCCTTATACAAAATCATCATCTTCTGTGCTTTCTTCTTGGAATCCTTCAAGTTCAACTCCATGTTCTTGGCAAGGGATTACTTGTTCTCCTCAAGAAAGAGTTATTTCACTTTCTATCCCAAATACATTCCTCAATCTCTCTTATTTACCCTCTGAACTCTCTTCCCTTTCATCTCTGCAGCTTCTTAATCTTTCTTCTACTAATATCTCTGGCACTATTCCTCCCTCTTTTGGTTCTTTATCTCATCTTAGGCTTTTAGACCTTTCTTCTAATTCTATTTATGGGTCTATTCCCTCAGAACTTGGTGGGCTTACTTCACTTCAGTTCTTGTTCTTGAATTCAAATAGATTGACTGGTAAGATCCCACCTCAGTTTGCTAATCTTTCTTCACTAGAAATCCTTTGTCTTCAAGATAATCTCCTCAATGGGTCAATTCCATCACAGTTAGGGTCCTTGTTGTCACTCCAGCAGTTTAGGATTGGGGGAAATCCATATTTGACTGGTGAAATTCCTGCACAATTAGGCCTGCTCACCAATCTTACAATGTTTGGTGCCGCAGCCACCGGTCTTTCTGGTGTTATTCCACCCACATTTGGGAATTTGATCAATCTTCAAACACTGGCAATTTATGATACTGAGGTATTCGGTTCGATACCGCCTGAACTTGGGATGATTTCAGAACTTAGGTACTTGTATCTGCATATGAATAAGCTCACTGGTTCAATCCCTCCTCAGTTGGGTAAGTTACAAAAGCTTACTAGCTTGCTTTTATGGGGAAATTCATTAACTGGACCTATTCCGGCTGAGGTTTCGAATTGTTCATCCCTTGTGATTCTTGATGTTTCTGCAAATGAATTGTCCGGTGAAATTCCTGGTGACTTGGGGAAGCTATCGCTTCTTGAACAACTTCATTTGTCTGATAATGCATTTACTGGTTCCATACCGTGGCAGTTAAGTAACTGCACTAGCCTAACAGCTCTTCAGCTAGATAAGAACCAACTATCGGGGCAAATTCCGTGGCAAGTCGGTAAGTTAAAGTACTTGCAGAGTTTTTTCTTGTGGGGGAATTCGGTTTCAGGTACCATTCCGGCTGCTTTTGGAAACTGTACTGAGCTCTATGCGCTCGATCTTTCGAGGAACAAGCTCACCGGATCGATCCCTGAGGAGATATTTGATTTGAAGCAGCTGAGTAAATTGTTGCTTCTTGGAAACTCGTTAACTGGAAGATTGCCTCGAACTGTTGCGAGATGCCAGTCTCTGGTGAGGTTGAGGCTCGGCGAGAATCAGCTTTCAGGACCAATTCCTAAGGAGATCGGTCAATTGCAGAACCTCGTGTTTCTTGATTTGTACATGAACCATTTCTCTGGTGGCTTGCCATCTGAAATTGCCAACGTTACGGTTCTTGAGCTGTTGGATGTTCACAACAATTACCTAACCGGGGAAATACCAGACGAGATGGGAGAGCTTGTGAATTTAGAGCAGCTTGATCTGAGCAGGAACAGCTTCACTGGTGAGATCCCTTCAAGTTTTGGCAATCTCAGTTACTTGAACAAACTTATTCTCAGCAATAATCTGCTCACTGGTCAAATTCCAAAGTCTTTTAAGAACTTGCAGAAGTTAACTCTACTTGATTTGAGCTCGAATAGTTTTTCTGGTGAGATTCCATCTGAGCTTGGTTATGTCACAAGCTTAACAATCAGTTTGGATTTGAGCTCGAATCGTTTTACTGGTGAACTTCCTGAAACGTTGTCTGGTTTGACACAGTTGCAATCTCTTGATATTTCTCATAATTTGTTGAGTGGAAGGATCACAATTCTTAGCTTCCTGACCAGCCTTACTTCCCTGAATGTTTCGTACAACAATTTCTCGGGGCCTATTCCTGTCACACCGTTCTTTAGAACTCTTAATTCATATTCTTTTCTACAGAATCCAAAGCTCTGTCAATCAATTGATGGTTCTACTTGTTCTTCACATATAATGGGAAAGAATGGGTTGAAGTCAGCAAAAACCATAGCCTTAGTTGCGGTAATTCTGACTTCTGTAGCCATAGCAGTTGTGGCTACATGGATTATTGTGACGCGAAACCACATATATGTGTTTCAGAAGTCTCAAGGCATGTCAGCCTCCTCTGTCGGTGCAGAAGATTTTTCCTACCCATGGACTTTCATCCCCTTTCAAAAGTTCAATTTTACCATCGACAACATCTTGGATTGCTTGAAAGATGAAAACATCATTGGGAAGGGCTGTTCAGGTGTTGTTTATAAAGCAGAAATGCCTAATGGCGACGTGATTGCAGTGAAGAAGCTTTGGAAAACAAAGAAAGACGAGGAGCCAGTGGATTCTTTTGCTGCAGAAATTCAAATTCTCGGACATATTAGGCATCGGAACATAGTGAAGTTATTGGGATATTGTTCAAATAGGAGCGTTAAGCTTCTACTCTACAACTACATTTCAAATGGCAATCTTCACCAACTCTTGCAAAGTAACAGAAACTTGGACTGGGAAATTAGGTATAAAATTGCAGTTGGATCAGCTCAAGGCCTTGCTTATCTACACCATGACTGTGTTCCAGCCATTCTTCACAGAGATGTCAAGTGTAATAATATACTGCTCGACTCCAAGTTCGATGCTTATATAGCAGATTTTGGACTCGCAAAGCTAATGAATTCGCCAAACTATCACCACGCTATGTCCAGCGTAGCAGGCTCTTATGGATATATTGCTCCAGGTACATAATTTTTTACCTTCTGCTTCTCATCATAAACGTTGAATATATTCACCGGTCAGTCCATAAAAAATTACTTAACAAATACGTTGCACTTTGCATGTTGTGAACTGCGAACATTATAGAGAAGGCAAAATATATCATGATATTTTCGAAATGTTTGATTTACAAGTCATAGTTCGTGGAGTGTGACACAAATGCTTGTTAATTTTGCAGAATACGGATACACGCTGAATATAACAGAAAAGAGCGATGTCTATAGTTATGGAGTGGTGCTGCTGGAAATACTTAGTGGGCGTAGTGCTGTTGATTCTCAGATAGGTGATGGACTACACATCGTCGAGTGGGTAAAGAAGAAGATGGGAAGCTTTGAACCAGCTGTTACAGTTCTTGACGCTAAGCTACAAGGTTTACCGGATCAAATGGTGCAAGAAATGCTGCAAACGCTTGGAATAGCGATGTTCTGTGTGAACTCATCGCCAGCTGAAAGACCAACAATGAAAGAAGTGGTGGCACTTCTAATGGAAGTGAAGAGTTCACCTGAGGAATTTGGGAAAACTTCTCAGCCTCTAATAAAACAGTCCTCAACTCAAAGTTGATTAATTTTTGTTTTACTTTCTGTTTTTATCTTTGACTAAGAGGAGTAGGAATTAATTTTCTTTAATTCCCAAGATATTAGGTAGCAAGTCAACCTATTGTTGGAAGGAGAGGAAAGCTCTTGTTCCTAGTATTGGATAATGTCTTGGGATTCTCTGTACAGATTTCAGAAACATTGGTCTAGTTCATTTGCTTCTTCATTTCTTATCTATCCATTTTTATGCTGAGATTTTACTTTTTAGCTTAAACTGATTAAAGTTGCATCATATGAGATTATAATACACCATAGCTGAGAGGAATATTCAAAAGTGAAAAAGAAAACAAAAAGCAGAATACTCTGAAAACCAAGGATCACCACAATGCTCATGTAATGACTGTTGAAGCCTATTACTGCTAATGTCCTCTGTATCTTCAAGAACAGCAGTAAGCAGTTAACATAAAAATTAGGAACAAAAGATGGATAGAGTAATGCATGCATTAGATGCATGTTACGAGCTCGAATTCTGCCAGACAAAAGTTTGGTATTAAATAGTGAACGATAAAGGGGGACCAATTTTCGTACTATGCACCATAGATTTCTCGGTTATCAAATGTGATGTTTTATACGTCAATACCACACAAGAGGGGGGTGATTTTTGTGGTACCAATTTTCGCTTAACTTGATTATAGAAGGACCTGGTTCTTCTATGTGTTCCAACTACTACTGTCGCGGAATAATAACTACAGAAAATAAAGAACACAGAGATCTTACGTGAAAAACACCTGGCTCAAAAGGTGAAAAAACCACGACCTACCTTCCAGTAGGATTTTCCCAAACTCTCTACTAAAATCACTGAGCCAAAAACTGCATTTACAAAAACTCTTTTGTAAACCTAGGATTAACTCTAATCCCGTTGAGGCACACAACCTCAACTGTTGCGACAACTTCAAGTTAACTCTAACTTGAAAACTCTAAGTACCTAATACAATTGTTTCTAAATAAGCTGAAAGGTACAAAGTAAAATCATCTACTACAATTGAACTAGAATAAAAGATAGACACTTGGAACTGGTTCTTTTATCTGGTTCAAGTAGCTTCAGGATTGCACGCTTGAATCACACATAAATTGCTTGCAAAATTTCCTCGCTATTTTGCTCTCAATTCACGTTTAACTTCTGCTTGTGTGTGTTACCTGTAAAAGAGAACAACACTAATATTTAAGGAGTTAGCAATTAGAGATTGACTAGGATACAGACGCTACTCTTCCATGGTGGAAGAGTTCTAGTTGATCTCATACTCTAAATCTATTCTTTTCCTAAACCGTGTTCTCTTTGTATAAGGAGTCTTTCTCCTTATCCAATATGCAACCTTTTCGATCATGATCAGGAGATAATATTTCTGATATGTTAGGTTTATCTCCTTCACGTGCATCTCACATGTTTGAGTTGATCATAACTGTGCTTCACAAAATGGACCTGGTCCATGTCTGAGTTCCTTTGTCAGTCTTCAAAACTTCACCTTTACTTGGGTCAAAAAATTCCCCCTTTTTGATGATGACAAACTCTATGCTTCTCACTCACTTATGCCTTGTCAGAACTCAGCTTATTTATCAATACAAAATTAGAAAAATTTACTTATCATCAAGGACCAGGTTCATTAGGTTATAAACATCACTTATTTAGAATATACAAAGCACAATATCTCTTCCCTCTTTTGGCATCATCGAAAAGTTGCATAAACAAAGTATGAGTCCCAGAATTTTAACAATTACTTATGGCCACTGGGGCAACTGCAAGTGCAATCATGGATTAATCATCAGTAATCAAGCAAACATTTCAAACTATCAAGGAAATATTAACAATCAACAAGAGCAAAAATAGTAGATATCATTGATAGAAGATATGTTGCTACCACAATCCACAAAAAGAAAGCAAAAATTTTCAAAACATGAGCAAAAGAAAGAGAAATCCCTAATCTGGGTCACTGGTGGTACTAGACAGGTTCAGGAGATAAAGGCTAGAAGTCCTAAGCTTGGGGGAGCTAGAAGGTTGGTTTTGGGCTTGGAGAAGGTTCAGCATATTTTGAAGAATGCCATCATTCTTCTCCTTTTCCTTGGTGAGCTCAGTTCTGAGAGCATCCCTCTCATATTCAACCTTTGCTAAGCGAGCCTTCAGCCTAGCTATCTCAGCATCCTTGGCCCCACTTTCCTGAACTAGAGGCCTGACTTTACTATTGATAGGTGTCTTCTTGGATGAACCAGGTTCATTGGGAATGGCAGTGACTAGATAGTCACAAGCAATCAAAGTATTTATGCCAAAATGATCCTTGCTTGTGGCCATTTCCCACTTCTTCAGAGGCACCTTGCACCGATCCAGAACAGTAGTCAGAATAAATCCAGAAGGGGTGGCATGGGCCTTGGAGCCATTGATAACCCTGTCTAGTAGCTTGATGATGAATGCAGGCCAGTTGATTTGTCTTCCACTTTCAAGACACTCCATCAGAACTAAGTCCATATAGTTAGCAATGTGCCTTCTCTCCTGCCTGGGCAGTAGGCACTTGTTGATAAATTCAAACAGGACTTTGTGTTGTGGCTTCATTTCACTCTTGTGCATAAACTTGGCCTCATTCACTTCTTCAACATCACAGAATCTTCTAGTGATTTCAAGGGTAGAAGGAAGGGAATCCAGACTGGCCATCTTTGCCTAGTATAGTCATCATATCCCTCAGCAGGAATGTCAAGAATCTCACCCAGCTTCTCTGCATCGAAGGTCACCGGAACTCCTTTCACTTGGCTGGTAACTCTGCCATCCTTGACTTCTGCATTGGCCATGAATTCAATGATTTCATTTCTAGCTAGCCTTCCATCCATCTGAAGGACCATGTCCTTCCAGCCCTGAGCAGCTAGTGCATCAATCAATCGAACCATTCCTGNAGTTAACTGCACTTCTTTTCTTTTCACTTCAAATGATCAGACTAAGCTTTCCCTTCGTCTCTTTTCCTTAGCTAACAGTGAAGCGAATCTCTAAAAATGGGGTGAATTCTTATAAGATCTTCCTCTCTTCTCTTTTATTCTATTAGTTAGCTTGGATTGAGAAAGCACTTAGCCTGATGTGCGTGAAGCAGGTCAGCGGTAGCCTAAGAGTAAGTCAAAATTACGAGAAACTAGTTTCGCCATGGGCTTCGCATTATACATCAGGAAGATAGAGACTAGGGGTGTCAAATGAGTGGGTTGGGCTAATTTTGGGCGAGTCAAAATGGGCCAAGTCAATAAATGGGCGGGTCAAAACCAACTTAGGTGGTAAAATATCATGGTATAGCCAGTTTTCACACTGGTCAATGAAAAATAGCCAGCGTTTATCAAGTCAATGAAAAATAGTCACTATTTTGCTGAAACAGGGACCGGTCCAGTATAATATACAGGAGTTCTGGTGCATTTGTGTACGAACTCCAGCATATTATGCTGGACCGGTATACTTTGCTAACTCCTGTAAAATTTGCGGGAGACTGGAGCACTAGTGCTCCAAACTCCAGTATATTATACTGGACAATTATACTTGCTGGAACTCCCGTAAAATTTGCGGGAGTTCAAGCATACTTATGCTGGAACTCCCGTAAAATTTGCGGGCGTATTTTTCCGGATTTTGAACACTGTTTTCGCTCAGATTTAAAGTGGCTAAATTTCGATGACTTTTGAAACTTGGCTATTTTTCAAGGACCAATGGTAAATCTGGCTATTTTTGAATTTCTCCCAACTTAGGTTGAGATGAGTTAGATCAAGTTGGGTTAAATTTTGGGTCGTAGCCCAATCCACACAACTCTTACCATACTTCAATTAATGTGTATTGTTCTCTTATGAATTATTTAATTATCAAATAAACTTTTTTTCTTTTGTTATTGTCATATATAACGTATCAAACAAAAAAAATTATTTTAAAAGTATTTTAGCAAAGTTATCCGTAGATCAATTTGGACTAAAAATTAGTCCAACCTTAGATTTGGTGAAATAGGTTGGGTCAAGATATGTTGAGTTCAACAAATGGGCGGGTTGGGCGATCAAACGGGTTTGCGCTCAAATTGCCACCCTCTAATAGAGGCCATAGGCTTCGCATTATACATCCGGAAGTTTCTCCATCACCGCTAGAATACAAGCTCGAGGAGTAACAGAACACAAAAGTTGCTGTACATGCTAGCAACTAGTAACTGAAACACAACTAGAGATTAGACTCAGAAGATGTAAAAATTGCAGAAATACTATAAAAATGGGAAGTTTCGGTATCAATAAAGAGATAGGTAATGCAACCAAGAATGGCCAAAAAGAAATGATTAGCACATTCAAACTTGAATGTACCAAACTATGTCAAGGACTTAAAATTAGAACAAGCAGTGGGCACCTATGTATACAAATAGGTGGTACAAAATTATTACTAATATTATTTGGGAAATAGACTTCAATATGTTGATAACAACTTTGAGATATTCTGAATAGAAACGAACATCCAAACTCACCGTTCATACAAATTCACTTGCTCAATTAGGCAAAGAAAGGAAGAGGTTCATATCTAGGTCAATGAATAACATGTTTTAGGACTTTACTTAAAAGCATAACTGGCAAGCTGAATGCAGTTATTAAGATTTAGCGAGACAGAAGACAAGTGCCTTGGCAGGACTTCACAGGTTAAAATTTGAGTAGGTACAAGTAGCTTGTAGAGGTGAAATAGTTGAGCTCCTATGGTTATGCTGAAGGTTCTTCCCATATTTTATGACGCCAAGATTAACCCTGAAAAAAAAGAGATTATCATTTATCAGCTCATCCCTATCACAATGCACAAATGTGGAAAATCTTTGCTGCCTTTGATTCTCCAAGAACAAACACATCTGACAAGGCTTTTGCAGTTCTTACTAGTAATAATATAATTTATGTCAGGTAGTTTTGCTATTTTTTCCGTTATAGTTTTGCTAGTTTTTAATGCCAAGATACCTACCAAGAATCAGTAAATCAGACACCAATAAGGATTCTAGTTAAAACAGCTACAGTTATACATTTAAAATGAATATATCAGTCCCAAGGAAGCTCAGTTCAACAGAGCCAACCACAGATCGCCAGAGGCCAAAAGTAGGAGAATATGGTGAATTCTGCTCCTAGTAATTCATATAATCATTTTGAGCCAAGATAGAGAGGAAGAATATACCATTCTTCATTAGAAAGCAAGCATACCTGTTCAGATTGCTTGAGCACTCATGTATTTAATTTTTGATTTTGATAATCCTGTATTGCGTACATTTAATATGAGTACCCAGTAAGTGCATGGTAAATGAATGGTCAGGTTCTGTCTATTGCATTGTCTGCTAGTTGGCATTTTTTGAATGAAGTGCCAGGGAGTTGTTCTATATGCAACTAATGATTTCTTGACGCATCTGGTGAAATGAAATTGAAGCCGTAGCCTTGTAAGACAGTTTCAGACAAAAAGGACATGTCTTTTCCATCCGACAATGATCTTTCCAACTTATTACCAACTTCAACCAATACAGCAAGATTGGGTCATCTACCCATTACCACATACAGTAAACATCTTCTAACTGGGGCTTTCGCAAACACTAACGAAGGCAAGAGGAGGTTTATGGAAGTGCATTAGCAGACTATGGGAAGAATTTTTAGATTATACTGAATTGGAAGTTAGAAATGGACAAAGAGTCAAGTTTCGGACAGACTTATGGATAGGGGATGAGTGTCTGAAATCTAGATTCCCTAATTTGTTCTATTTTTCTGTTAACAGGGATGTTACCATCTCTGATTTCTACTCAGATACAGGTTGGCAGCTGGTTCTCAGAAGGAATTTGGATGATTAGGAAGTTGAGGATGTTTGCCAATTGCTGCAGCTAGTAGGACAGGTTGCAATTGATCATAACAAGGTGGATTTTTTGATTTGGACTGTCAGCAAGAATAGGACTTTCTCAGTGAAAAGTTGTTACAAGAGGTTGATAGAACAGTCAAATCACAGAGATAATAACTGGCCTTGGAAGATTATTTGGAAAACCAAAGCTCCAGCTAAGGTAGCTTGCTTTGGGTCGATAGCAGCCTGCGGAGCTTGTTTGACTCAGGATACTTTGCAGAAAAGAGGCTTCAGCCAGTGCAATAGGTGTTATCTATGTGAACAAGAGCAAGAATTAGTGACCCAACTCCTTCATTGCGACAAGGGGGGGTTGCTAAGATGGTAAGCACCCCCCACCTACAACTACAGGGTCGTGGGTTCGAGTCGCCAAAGGAGCAATAGCTCCAACAAAAGGATCAAAGGGGAATCAAATGGGGAGGGGAATTAAAAAAAAATCTCCTTCATAGCAGAGTATCTGGGCAATGCTTGGATCTATTATTTAGCATCTGTGGTGTTTCTTGGGTGATGCCTCAACCCGTGAGGGGCTTATCAGAAGCTTGGCAATCTCAAAGAGTACCTAGAAGGCTAAAACACAGGTGGAGAACCGTTCCATTGTTCATTTTAGGGACCTTATGGCTGGAACGAAACAGCGCTTGCTTTGAAGGGCATAGAAATCACATTATTAGAATTAAGAATATGTCTTCATAATCTGTAACTTTTGGTGCAAATGTAGTCAGTTAGGAAATCTGAATCATTATATGGAATTTCTGGAGGTGTTAGAAGGGGGAGAACAGTTTGCTGATGTTGTACTTTGGGATGTTTTTCTGTATCTTTTTATACCATCTTGGTACCTTATATATTGATTAGTATGAACTTCCCTGATATTTTTGTGAAATGGATATGACATGTGTAAATACTGTATCATATTCCATCCTAATTAATGGGAAGCCTACACCACCTTTTCCTGCTAAAAAAGGTCTCAGACAGGGGACCCTTTATCCCCTTTATGTTTGTTCTGGCAATGGATTATCTGTGTAGACTGCTAAAGACCCTGAAGAGTAATCCTGATTTCAACTACCATTCAAGATGTGAAAAATTAAGGGTGGTGCAGTTGGGTTTTGCTGATGATCTTTTACTCTTTTGCAGAGGAGATGTGGTATCAATCAAACTGCTCTATGATTGTTTTAAGAGTTCCTCTGCTGTCTCAGGATTGGTGGCCAATAAAAGTAAATGTTCCATTTATTTTGGAGGAGTACATCAATCAGTACAACATGAAGTGTTGGACTGGTTGGGTTTCACAAAAGGAAGTCTTCCTATAAAGTACCTAGGGGTTCCCCTTAGTACAAATAGGATATCTATTATGCAATGCCAGCCTTTGATAGATAAGATGTTGGGAAGAATAAACTCTTGGACATCAAAATTTCTTTCAATATGCTGGGAGAATGGAGCTGATCAAGAGTGTGCTATCCGCCATACAAACGTACTGGTCGCAGATTTTCATTCTTCCAAAGAAGGTGCTCAAACTTATAGAATCTATTTGCAGGAACTTCTTGTTGACCGGGGGGGGGGGGGGGGGGGCAGACCTATCTAAACGAGCATTGATAGCTTGGAAAAGGATCTGCTGGCCAAAAAGTGCAGGAGGATGGAATGTGATGAATATTGGATTGTGGAACCAAGCTGCTATTTGCAAATTGCTATGGCATTTGTGTCACAAAAAAGATAAGCTATGGGTGCACTGAGTTCACACATACTACATAAAAGGAAGGCAAGTTTGGGAAGTAGAACTGCAACAAGCTTCATGGGTGATAAGGAAGATTTTGAAGACAAAAAAGTTGCTGGAAAAGGTTGGCATAGGGAGAATTGACCTGATGAATATGCCCTCTTTTTTCATACAAAAAATGTATGTGCGATTGCGAGGAAATTATCAAAAGGTACCCTGGAGAAAGCTAATTTATAACAATGATGGGGCTCCAAGATGGATCTTTATACTGCAATTAACAATCCATGAAAGACTGAGCACTAGGGACAGACTAGCCAAATGGGGAGTGACTACTGACATACTCTGTCCTTTGTGTAGTGTGGAAAATGAGAGTACTGACCACCTCTTTTTTAGCTGTGCTTATTCTAAGAACGTCCGGGAAACAATGCTTCAACGGCAAGGAAGACAAGCAATGTGCTGGAAAAATAAAATAGCGTGGACAATATGCCAAGCCAAAGGGAACAGTCAAAGGGTGGCAATTTATAGAATGACGATGGCAGGATGTGTTTACTTTATATGGCAAGAAAGGAACAGAAGGATTTTCCAAGGACAACAAAGGCAAGAAGTTCAGATTATAAGGAAGCTCATTCAAGAAATATGCTGTAGAGGGAGGATGTAACCCAGGTTGACAAAGGCAACAGAGAACTTAAACTTCTATCCCTAAATGTACCAATGCTCAGAATCATGTAGAGATCTTGATGGATTGACGATGACATAGTCTTTGTCCAGAATTGGGGCTGTATGTCCAATACTGGACTTTTTCAAATTTTCCAGTTTTCTGGCTGCTGTAATACTTCCAGTTTTGGTATATAAAATTTTAATTACCAAAAAAAATAAAAAAATTTACCTTATCAAAAAAAAATCAGATGCTTCATTTTTAGCAGGAAAGGTTTTACCAAACTTTAAGTTCTGTCCATACTATTGTCAGTTAGGTCTATTAATGAAAAAATGTTTACACTTGCGACAAGTTGTGAGCTTTAGTTGAGAGTGGAGCAGACTCTTGTCAAACTTGACAATCAATGAAATGAAGCATGTTCAAAGAAGAAAGTTCCTCCACTTCTATATACAGATGGTAAATACAACTTCTTTTTTTGGTAAGTAGAGATGGTACATACAAATTGGTAGACATATAAGCAACACTTCATGATATGAACTAGAGCTTGTATCCTAACTCATAACAGCTTCGTAAAATTACTCTATATCAAATTCATAGTGAATAGGAATATGCAATGCAAATTAATCTACCGGAAAAAGCCTCAGAAAAGCAAATCTTACAACATAACAATCAGACTACAAAATCTTTTAATTCAAGCTAACAAGTCAGACACAATTATACAGTTAAACCTGATTCCAATCATAAGCATTTGCATTGCATGGAAGTTATTAGTATACTCGATCAAATGAAATAAATTCTTTAAAAAATAAACAGCAAATAAAACATACCATTCACTCATTCAATTGCTCAAGCTCAGCCTTCAATTGCTCAATCTTAAGCCCCATAGACCTCTGAATCACTCCTTTTTCACTCTCTGACAGCTTTTCCAACAGCCCATAATACAAGTCAAAAACTTCCTTAACAGCAGCACGTGCACATTCAGCTTCTTCGTTAAAATACACAGTCTCTTTGGATTCCATAGCTGATTCTATCTCCTCTCTTGCCTCCGCAAACTTGAGGTTAATTTTATCAACTTCTTTATCAGTGTCAACACTGTATTTCCTTACATTCTGCGAAATTATGAACTGGGTCGATGAATTTGACCTCGTTGGACCAAGAAAATGTCTGGTCTTTGTGGGGCTTAAGGATGTAATTGGGTCAGATGTAAGAGTTGTTAAGGAAAAAGACGATTTGGGTATCGTTGATTTCTCAAAAGGGTGTCTGAAAAGCGATTTACAGAGAGAGATTGATGAACGTCGATGCATTTTGATTGAGAGAGCGAGCAAGAACGCAAAGGAAATGGTTGCTGTGTTGGCAGAAAATGAAAAACCCTTCCTTTACTGTTCTTGATGGGGTGGCTAAACCGGATCTAGTGATTTTTAATGGGCTGAAAAAGAATTTGGGCTGTGACCCCTAAGTTGAAGGGGGAAGTGCACAGTTAGCCACTAATAAAATATGTATTTACTTTTAAGTTATTGTTTAAAATATTTTTAGTCTTTAGTCACTGTTTTAATAAACTTTACCCGCTCGGAGGAAAATACCCTTCTGCTCATAAAGTTCAGGACCAAGTGTCCTTAACTTATGAGCTTGTTACTGTAAGTTCAGGACTAACAGTCCTTAATTTATGAGCTTGTACGTCTAAGTTTAGGACTACTTGTCCTTAACTTTTGAATTTGTAACTCTAAGTTCAGGACTACATGTCCTTAACTTTTGAACTTGGAACTCGAAGTTCAGGACTACCTGTCCTTAATTTCTGTGCTTGTAACTCTAAGTTAAGGACCAAGTGTCCTTAATTTTTGAACTTCCAACTCTAAGTTCAGGACCAAGTGTCCTTAACTTATGAGCTTGTTACTGTAAGTTCCGGACTAGCTGTCCTTAATTTATCAGCTTGTAAGTCTAAGTTAAGGACTACCTGTCCTTAGTTTTTGAGCTTGTAACTCTAAGTTCAGGACTATATGTCCTTAATTTTTGAACTTGTAACTTTAAGTTCAGAACTACATGTCCTTATTTTTTGAACTTGGAACTAATGCTGCACTGTGGGCCGGGCCTGGCCCGGGACCGGATGGGTAGTTTGGCTAGGCACATACAAACACACCCTAGAGATAAAGTTAAATATTTACAAATGAAAGCACAGCAAGAGGGGACAAGTGTAGATACTGCGGTTAACCCTAGTACATGTTCAAATCTAGTTCAACCAGGAATTAACACTGTGACCGGTGGTATTTTATATTACGATCCTAATAAAGATCGTGAAGAATTAGCAAAGATGGTTACCGTTATGTGCTTACCCTATACTTTTCCTTCTAACCCTAATTTTGTGCATTATATTAGAAAAGCTTTTAATCCTACTTATAAAGGTTGGCCTCGTGCAACAGTTAAGAGCGATATTTATAAATATAAACATGAGTATGAATAATATTTGCGGTATTTATTTACTCATATAACTAATCGGATTTCTATTACTACTGATATTGGTAGAAGTAATAATAACTGTGATTATCTAACTGTTACAAGTCATTGGATAGATGAGGAGTGGATAATGCAAAAACACATTATTGCTTATAGAATAATTAATTCACGTCACACAGGTAAGTTTATGGTGTAACTTGTACTTTGGCACATCTTTTTTAGTTTTTTTTCTCCTTTTAATGGTGGTATTAGCACCTTGTTGTGCTCATTCCATTGGGGGGAAGAAGACTAAGAAAGATATGCCATTTTTGGTAATAAAAATTATAAGACATTCCCTTGAATATCTCTTTGCAATATTTTTTTGTCTTTAACTTGCAATTCTTTATAAGCTATAATATATATACATAACATACTATATATACTACAAGAAATTATATAAGAAAATATATATACATAACATACTATATATACTATATATATATATATATATATATATATATACATACATATATATATACTAACATATATACTAACATACTATATATACTTCAAGAAATTATATAAGGAAATATATATACATAACATACTAACACACTACAAACACTACAAGAAATTATATTTGGAAATATATATACATAACATACTATATATAGTATAGTATACTATATATACTATATACTATATATATATAGATATATATACTAACATACTATATATACTACAAAACATTACAAGATTTTTCAAAAGGAGGGCCCCACCCCCAATGACCATTGCCAACGGTCATATTGCGCAAATAGCCTATTTTTTTATTTTTTTTTTTCTTTTTCAATTTACAAAACTAACCTTCTCTAAAACTATAAATACCCCCCTCCCTCTTCTTCATTTCAATACTCAATACTCATTTCTCAATCTAAATTTCTCTCAATCTCTCAATCTCCAATTTTCAAGGCTTCAAGTCTCAATCTCAAATTTCAAGTTAAATCATGCCTCGTTCGGAAAGAGTGCGCTTATTTGTTTCGCAACACTTTGAAGTGCTTGAAGAAAATGAAGAAGGCCAAATATTAAAGTGCAAGAACTGTGGAAGAGTCTTAAATTTTCGTTCAGGGTGTACCACAGGCATTTTAAGGAGGCATATAAAGTATTGTCTTGAGCGTATTTATCCGAAAATTCGTCTTTAAGATTTTTCGACAATTTGTGTTATTTTAAAATTATTAGACGTATTTATGCTTAATGTTTTACTTTGTTATTAATTTTTTATGCATGATAATTTTGTTTTACTATTGTTTTGTTATTTTACTTTTTCTTCAAGCACTTTAATAATTAGGTTTCTATATTATATATACTAGATATATTTATATAGCCATGTATAAGAGCAATTTATATTAGTATATACATATATGGTTTACAAGAAATTGCCTTAAACAAAAAAAATTAAAAAAAAATAGCCCGAAAATAAAAAAGCCCGTTAGGCCCGTATGGGCCCGTGAGCCCGGCCCATTTAGCCCATGACCATGTGGGCTTAGGCCCGTCATGGGCTCGTTCCACCCGTTGAGCCCATGAAGCCCGGGACCGTGAAGCCCGGGACCGCTAAGCCCAGACCCGTTTAGCCCGGCCCATTTAGCCCCTTTAGGCCCGGGCCCGGCCCAGAATACAGCCTTTCTTGGAACTCTAAGTTCAGGACCAACTGTGAATTGAGTATAAATATTGTTTATACTCAGAAATAAACAATGTTTGATGCATTGTTAAAAAGCAAGTTTTACACCAAATGGTAAGTATCAGATGTTAATTTTGCAATAAAATTAAGTTTCAAAGAAACATGATATGCATTGCTCGTTTTTGTTTATGTGTGTGTGTGTTTGTTTGTCTGGTGTAGCAAGTCTGTGATCCAAAACAAAAATGCAAGTTGTAAAACCAAGAAACCAGAGCCAATGTATTCGATGCAGATAGAAAAGTAAGGGTTTGGGAAGAAAAGCAATGGAAGAAAGGGTAAAAATATCTTTTCATATTAATTTTAATAGAGTAGTGACTATTTTTGCTCAACATTAAAATTGCTGGATAAAAAATAAATACCACCTTAAATAGTGGCTACCCCACGCCATTTTGACAAAACTAAACAAGAAAGGCCCATGTAGGCACTTGCAATTTTGTAAATGTATAAGTGTTAGTCGCTCCCAAAAATAATAATAGCCGATAAATATGTGTGTGTATGTGTATATATATATATATAATTTTTGACCAGCGAATGCAATTAGTTTCAGCTGACCGGCTAATTTTAAGTTTTGCCATGCATTTTTGGAAATAATGTGGTAATCTTAGTAGGGTTCGGACAATATCTGGATACACATTTGGCCACTTGATTAAAACTATTTACATATGTTAGCCAATATATATTAATACAATAATTATACATCTACCAACTATTTATATGGGTGGGCGGCTATACAATGTAAAAATCCAAATAATGTACTTGAAGAAACATGAAAAGTTGAAAATCAGTAAAGTACCCCTTAAACAAGCCTTCTAATTATGTACTATTTGCAAATATGGTCAAATGGGTAATTTGAATGTCCCCGAAGGGACAATCCAAATGGATAACCGAGTGGATTTGATTGAATTTGTAACTATAGTTCAAATTATCAGATTGTTTTTGCTATGGAGAATTACATATATACCCTCTCGCATAAGACAGCATGCAGCATTTGACACACGTGTTCGAGATCAAAAGTAAAATTGGATCAGGTAGAAGTGATTAGCCACATACATTTTCACTTGCATAATGATGATCTTTCCAGCAGGTAAGTTAATTTATTTAAACATTTAGCAGAAGTTGACAAATAGGACTTCTTCATATTCTTTGTTAGTAGTATTTATTTTGAGAAACTGGATATGTTTAACTGAACCCACAACTAAGCCACCAAAACCACTTCACTTTATTAACTATTGTAACAAACTATTGCTTCAAATCTTGGACCAAACTACAAATTATGCAACTAATCTCTAAACTCAACAACCCCGATTTCATCCTTGCAATTTATAAAAGCACATACCCTTAGATTATACCAGTCGTCCAACTTAGAAACAAATTACAAGGAAAGGGAGAACCAATACATCTCGCGCTACCTACTAGAAAAAATCCCATCAAGATAGATTGAATCGTATTTCATGGCTCGCGCACTAGTACTCTTGGACAACAAGTTCACTAGCCTATGTCAACTAGTTGCAAGCCATTCGAGGAAATGGAAGCGCAAATGGAGAGCATGTTATGGCTATGGTGATGAACATGACCCTGTTATTCAACTAAATAATGAAGAGATTGATCAGAGTTACTATTTTGGAGAAGTTGATCCAAACACACGCAGTGGTGAAGTCTCTTCAATATGGAAGAAGAATATAATCATGGGAGGAAAATGCCAGCTTCCTGAATTTTCTGGTGTCATAATTTATGATACTGCTGGGAATTTAGTTAATCCCAAAACTCCACGCCCTCTTGCACTTCCATGGAAAGAATAACGTTCCTTCCATTCATAAAAAAGGATTAATATTGTTTCCTAATATTTATGTACTGGCTGTTTATTTCCTTCTTTTCATTGTTCTTAAATCTATTGAGAACCAAGTGATTTAGTAAATGATGTACTCTCTCTCAACGTTTATAACTTGCCTAACTTAATGCCAATGTATCCTGAAAATTAAATATACTGAACTCAAAGTATATTTTACAAGACGGGGAAGAAAAGAATTTCTTATTTACTACAAATGAAAAGTAAGAACTAAGGCAAAGTGGTTCATATGCCTAAAGGAAACAAAATGTCTTATCAGTAATTCAATAGTCAATATTTTCTAAGTTCATCCAGTGTTTGTCCAATAGAACAATCTGTGTCAGTCAAAACGAATCAGAAAACTGAAATGTCGTTGAGTTCTAATAATAGTTACCTAGTAAAATACAAATTACTAACCATACAGGCGCGCGCACAAAAAAAAAAACCATAGAGACAAGAAATTGATGGACAAAGTTTGCAAAAACTATTCAATTCTTAGGTACTGGAGAGGAGCCACACACTGAATATGCAGGTGTAGGTAACTGGTGAATGCCACACGAGGGCGAGGGGCGGGGGCAGGGGCAGGGCAGGGCCCGGGGTAAAGGAAAAAATGCTTGGAACTGAACCTTTGCAGTCCCTCTGATTCATAATAAGGAAACTGGCACCTCTTCATCAGCAAAAGGTTGAACGTATCCAACAAATCAAGAAATTTCCTTGGATGGAACAATTATTTGTGGCCAAAGAAATCAACTGTACATCTCAGGTTTCAGGACTCCCACGTAGGGTAAGTTCCTATAAAGCTCAGCAAAATCTAATCCATAGCCAACCACAAAATAATCTGGACACTGCATGCAAATTAAATGAAGAATGATAAATAAAAGGTAACTTACTTGCACCAATATTTCCAGTGCGGAATAGAAAGTTATAATTAACATTTACAAATAGAAGGGGAGCCTTGGAGCAACGGTAAAAGTTGTCTCCATGTGACCTATAGGTCACGCGTTCGAGCCGTGGTAGCAGCCACTAATACTTGTGGTAAATTAGGTTGTCTACACCACATCCTTTGGGGTGTGATCCTTTCCCCGACCCTACGTGAATGCGGAATGCCTTGTACACCGGGCCGGGCGACCCTTTTTTAACATTTACAAATAGAAGAATGGAGTTTCGGTTAATCTTCTAAAGGGGGAGTAGGTAGGAGCTATCCAAATACAAGCTACTACATCTTTCTTTCTAGACATGCTGTTGTTATAGGCTGATTATCCATCAAAAAGTAGCAACGAGCCATCTCTAATCTATTGTAATGCGATATTTCAATATTTGATTTGCCAATAGTATCTTGCTGTGATATCAGTTAGCGACATGCAGAGAAATCTCATATTCTCAATTTAATTATTGGGCAAAAAAGAGCTAAAAATGCTACTATCGTTTTAGACAACCAATAGTTTTTCTCTATTGCATAAATGGTCATTAACCGGTGTAGTAAACCAACCTCTTTGTAATGACCAATTACTGGCTGCTATAACAATGAATAATTTCAAGTCTTCTCATGCGTAAGGGACGTATTAAGAAAGCACATAAACCTTAGAAGCATATATCAAATACTTGCCAATTTTACAGCATGGACAAGAAATTTCAGGTGGAGGGTGATTAATCTTACAAGCCTACATCAAAATAATCAATTCCTTTTCATGATTAAGAGTTGACTGAAAGGTTCTCGAAATATGCTTTCCCCCCCCCCCCCCCCCCCAAAATGCTTTAGCTCTTTAGATTAGGCAGGAGATTGCTACAGCTCTCCCCTTCTCCTTTTACTTTGTTTATTTTCTGTTGGAGAGTCCGGGAAGCAGAACTCTATGATAAAAGAAGCACCGTCTTTTTTTCCCCTACTAGACAAGATAAAGCAAAGAGAATGTTAGAGATTACCTCAAAACCACGGTAGAACTTCCCTTCTCCCACAAGTTCAAAATTAACCTTCCTCTTTGATGGTTTATCAAGGAGAGTGCACACCGATATGGAGGATGCCCCTTTAGATTTCAAGTGTGCAATTAGGCAGGATAACGTGTTTCCTGTATCCACAATGTCCTCAACCTGGAGAAATGTCAGAAGAGGGATGATTATCAGCTCAAATTCAACATGTTTCAAAAAAAAAAAAATAATTACTCAAATAAAATGTCAGTATGCTGATATGCAGGTTCATGGTAGACATGGTCACTGACATAATTTTACAACTTAAACACAGGATTCACGAGTGCAACCGATAAGATAAGGTTAAGCTGAAAGAATCTTCATGCTCCAAGCACGTAACTAAAATTCTATATATTGCGACCAAATCACACACAACACAAGCTAGTGGTTCACTTATAAATCAAAAAATTGAGGAAGGGAATAGCAGCAGTTATGACGGCAATAGATGGGGGGGACACGACAAATTAACAAGCCAAGATACTTGGAGAATAAAAGCTCGACCAAGAGGACCCTAATACACACTTTGGCAGGATCTCCCCTAAATCCTAAATGGTAGCAAGATATTCTACCGGAAAACATGTAGCTTATGTTTAACTAAGATGTACACGTGATCTTTTGTCACATCATATATGCAACATCTCTAATGTAAAGAGACTTAAAAATCCAGTCACAAAAAGCAATTTTCTTGCTTCCCCCTAGTTATAAACAATCTTTCTGTACGTGCACCCACATCAGGCAATTTCCATCTTCTACCTTTCCAGCAAAAATGTGTAAATGGAGAAATGCTTAAGGTGTGTTTGGTATGATGGAAAATATCTTTCAGAAAGCACTTTCAAGAAGAAACTTTGTCTCACTATCCAACCCTCTAATGTTTAGAACTATTTCAAATGGACATGATAAGAGAAAAACATAAGCGAAGAAAGTCATCTTTCACTCTTTTATGGAAAATATTTTCAAGACAGATATCTTTTGGTGTTTGGTGGCCAGAAAATGTTGGATTCATACCAAACACACCCTTAGTCTTGCAAAGATTTCCGTAAAGCGACACAAAAATACTTTTATAAATTACAACAGTTTGAATTAAGATGTACAAAATTTCAGCTGCTAGAACTGAAAAATTAGTATAACCAGTGAATAAAGATTGCATTTTTAATTATCTCAATTGCACGTATATATATATCTCAAACTGATGAACCCTAACATACCAAAAAAGGGAAATCTTCCAAACACTATAATTAACAAATTCATACCAAAATCACATGCTTTCCAGTAACATCAATTTTCAAGTCGCAAGAAATCTTGGGTTTGCCATTGGATACAGTACCAGAGCCGTACGATTCAACCCGAACAAAATCAACGGAAATGGGAAGTTTGATTTTGCGAACAAGGTCAGCTAGGAACAGAAAAGCACCAGTGGCAACGCCCACAGCGACCGGAGCGGATTTACAAGAAGAAAAGTTGAGGGTAATTTGGGAAGCAAGTTCAGAAACTCGTTGAGAAATTTGCTGCTCTGTCCATAAAATTTTTTCAATATGATCCTCCAAATTGGTAGCCATTGATACCTTGGGGACAGAATCAGCGATAGAATCAATGAAGGAATATTCCACAATAGAATCAGCAATAGAAATGCCTGCAACTTTATTGCTGGGGATAGGGTTTAAGGGCCTTATGATAGAGTTTTTAAATGGAATTTTTACTTGATGATACTTTAGCTATTTTAAATAAATATTCTTTTAAAAAATTATATTTCATAGCTACTTTTTAATTTTTATAGCCAAATATTTGTTTATGCTCACCTCTTACCCTTAAGCCATAAAATACGCTTTGTGTTATTTTTCTCTCTCATTCTTTCAAATTTTTCCCCATCCTCTCTCTCTCAACACCAGTTTTCTCCATGAATACAACCATGATTCTCCACTGATTCATATCCATTGTCGAACGAAATTTTAATTGTCAGTGGTACGGGGCTCTGAATCAATGTCGAAATCAAGCCCTAGAGAGACATATGGAGAGTCTTTGAAAGGTAAATTTGGGCTGAACAAAAATGGCGGCTATGCTAAACAAATCCTCTTTCATTGGTGAAAGTATTTAAAACCAGTAAAAAGAAAAAGATTAAACTCTCCACTCTTTTTTACTAGTAGGAAAGTTTCCTTTTATTTCTCCACTTTCTCTCCATTAATGCCAATCCTCTTTCGTATCAATGTCGAAATCTGACATAGAGTAAATTGGGGCTGACAATGGAGGTTCGAAATTTGCTATCGACGAGATGACATAAGGTTATTCTTGAACAAAGACGACGGAGTTTGGGGCTGAGCAACTTGAAGAGTCTGTTACCTTTTTTCTTCGTTGTATTTCAATGTATCTCGCTGTATTCTATGTATTTCATTGTATTCATTGTCTTTTTTTTTATTGTACTTCAATGTATCTCGCTGTATCCATGTATTTCATTGTATTCACTATCTCATTATATTCCATGAATGTATTCATATGTTTTTTAATTAATAATTTATGTATTCAGATTTATAATTGAGTTTGTTGAGTTATATTAGAATTCTATTTGTGTTAATTGATTCACTTTTCGTTTAACAGCTGAATTGACCACGATTTACGCTATTTACGTTACTGTATTCACAAATACATATCGTGAATGCAGTCGAATACAATAATTGCCTAGCTGTACTCCCCTGTTTCACGCCGAGTTTTGCTACTGTATTCATGAATACAATAGCTTAAATACATCGAATACACTCTAGCAAAACTGAAAACATAGCTATAGGAAGTAATATAGTAAATGGTTGCTACAGCTAGCTAATAACCACTAAACAATAGTAGTTTGTGAAAATTTCTCTTCTTAAATTACTTCATATGTAACACATTGATTATTAAATATTCTCTAATTGTCCTTTTTATTTTAGATTTGGTTTGAAAATATGTTTTTGTATTAATTTTAGTTTTTGGTAACCAAATTGTAGAAATTTTCTTTGAAAACAAAGTTATTGAAGTTCATGTCTAGTAATCACGACAGACCAAGAAACTAATTTCGGGTAAATACCAACATCCAAAGAATAAAGAACCATTTAGACCCATTCACTTTATACTGATATTTGCATATATTTTATATTTCTAAAAAAACATCCTATCCTAACGCAGTTAACTTTTCAGAACAAATATAGAAACATAATTTTTTTTTAGAATATGCAAGAAAACAGTTTTAAAATAAACTTTTTGTAAAAATGACATCTAACAACATCAGTCCCTTTCCATATAACTCTAATATCTCACTACTGTTTCAAAAAATTATGTACTAAAAACGGAGTGTTGAGTAGCTAGCAAAAATAGGAGAAACAGATTAGAACATGCGAAAAAATGGGTGTTGCATGAACATTAGAAGTTGGCTTTGTTGAAAATTGTTATCACATTGGAAGAAATAGAAGAATTATGTAAAAATATGTCATCACTTCTGGGAAGATTTGGACGAGGTGGTGCGTGATATTCCATTCACCGAGATGCTATTCCTAGGAAGTGATTTTAATGGCCACGTCAGGATGACTTCTAGGGTTATGACAATGTGCATGTCGGCTTTGATTTTGATGATAGAAACGAAGGAGGAACTAAGTTGTTGGATTTGCTAAGGCTTTTAATTTGGTGATAGCTAACTCGAGGGAGGAGCACTTGGTCACATTTTATAGTACGGTGGCCAGGGCCCAAATTAGAAAGAGTGATAGAGGTTTATGCACGGATTGCAAGGTTATCCCGAGCGAGAACCTCATGACCCAACATAGGCTCTTGGTAATGAATTTAGACATTAGGAAAAAGAGGATCGTGTATGATCAACCTAAGATCAAGTGAGAAGCCTTGACTAAGGACAAAGCTCGGGAGTTGGAGGAGAAGTTGTCAGTAATGGGAGCTTGGAGGAGTAGCGGAAACACGAGAAGTATGTGGACCACGATAGCGAATTGCATTAGAGAAGCAGCTAGAGAGGTATTAGGGATCTCGGAGGGCTACACTAGTGGGCATAAAGGGGAATAGTGGTAGAAGGGAGAGGTCCAAGAAAAAGTGAAAGTCAAGAAAGCAACTGTTGCACCCTATTTTACCCAGATTAAGATAGGATTCACCGTAATGGAAATGAGATTCTAGATAAGGATTCAAATTTATTTTAAGAGGAAAGGGTGAGACGTCACTTAAAAGTTAAAATCTATCTAAGAATAGTTCGTTAAACTTAGTCTAAAAGATAGCGATAATAGTCTATATTCGAATTACTTGTCCATTAAAGTGTAGGTTAAAACCTATAAGTTCATTTAGAAGATCTATATATTTAAGATCTATGTAATTTGAACTATTCTTTCTTCTTTTTTTTTTTAATAATAAATATACTTTACATAAAAGGTTCAAAACTACCTCTAAATAGGTTTACCCTCAATTAAAATTTGGCATCAAGAGTGCCCCTGCGGCGACCTAAAGGGGTCATTTCTGCCCTACTTTACTAACGGACGCTATTTTTGAATTTTTATTTCTAAAAAGTATTTTACTTAAAAATCTACCTAGCGTACCCACCCCACCCCCACCTCACCCCTCTTTTCTTTCCTAAAAAGGGTAAAAAATTGCTCATGAACTAACGAAATGGGACAATTATAACTCTCCCTAGCCCTTTATTTTAGTTTTTTTTCTCCCCTTCATTTTCTTTCCTTCTTCCTCTCCTTTCAACCTCCATCGAAGAACCTCACCTAAACCTCCCAAAGAATTCCAAGCCAACAAAAATTGTATTTTTATCTCCTATTTTTTTTTTCCTTTCTCCTTCTTCTTCCTCTCTTTTCAACCTCCATTGTGAGTGAATGTACGTATATTTTTATTTGCATGTATTACAGATAAAATAGATTGGTTCTCTTTGATATAATCTCTTAAACTCTAACTGTCACGACCCAAAAATCATAACTAATCGTGGTGGTGCCTAACTCACTCGCTAAGCACGCTAAGATAACAACAACGAAACGTAATAACAGAAATAGCAAGGAAATAGCACGAGTGCGGACATACCCTGAAACTTTAGGTGAAATCCATTTTTGGATCACTTTTTTCGGGGTTAATATGACCTTCTTTCCTATGAATTTCTTAGGGATTTCAGGTAATGCCAATAACATGACTAGCTGTGTCAAAATACAAGAAAAACCACGAAATTGGTGATACAATGTCATGAGCTCTAATCAAAAGTATAAGTCTGAAACACAAAATAATGATATTGTCTGAATAGAAATAACAGTTTAAAAGGAAAAAGAGATGCCAAGACTGCGGTTGGGATGCAACTCTATGACGAGCATAAAACACACACTTAAATTGTGCTCGCTAGTCAAAGGTAGTATAGTATAATATCGTGTCCACAGGTATTAGATTTAAACAATATTCTCGTATTTTCTAGTTTGATTGCTATTCAGGAGTATCAACAGTTGAGATTTATATGATTAATAATAAAAATTAACTAAGAATCTAAAATCTATAGCTATTGACTAGTGACTATCGAAACAAGGAATAAGCAATTAAGGTTATCGGTGGGAGAGGATAGAGTTTTGGCGGAATAAGTGCAAGATAATTGTTCGGGATTTAACTCTAGATAATTCACTTCCAATTTCAAGTGAGTCTCTCGAATTCACTCTATTATTAGTTCAAACGTTCAGCAAATACTCCTCCCTCGATTAAATCTTAACCTCATGAGATGAACCAATTTAAGCACTGTGAAGATATGCAAGAATGCGTAGTAGATCGGTCTTTAGAGAAACCTCTTTCGATTATTTTCCTAATTAGGTTTAATCAACGATTCAACTGGCCTCTTTCGATATCACAAGTTATGCCTCTTTCGATTACAAGAACAAGTGAATATAGATACAACAATTAAATCTTCCAAAACGATTCAAATACATAAAAATGGAGTTATAATCCACAAACAATCATCAAATCCATCAAAACCCAAAAGGAACTACTCCATAGACATGGAGAAGTTCTTCGCAAATGTAACTAAAATATAGGAAAACATAAATTCAATCCAAACTCGGATCTTGAGTGAGGAAGGAATAATGAAATCCTTGTGCTTGTGTTCTTCCAACTCATCCTTAGCCTCCAGGTCGAAATTGTGTCAAAAGTCCCGAAAATGGTATTTTCCCGTGTATTTAAGCCACCCCCCAATAAACCCCGGTCGAAATTATCCTTTTTAGCGGAAATGGGAAGTCACTCTAACATTTTTGTGCCCCCGCACCGCGCCATGCGGCACGCTTGTGAGGAATTATAGAACAATTCCAAAAATCATTTCTGGCCATATTTTGCACTGCCGTGCCGCGTCGTGCCTCACGGATGTGCATTTTGTCGCAGTAATAGGGAAGTACAGAGCCCTTGCAGATTATATATTTGTTGTTGTTTTGTGTTGTCACGCCGCACAATGCGACGCATGCAGCGTCACCCACTCAATTCTTTTGCTGCCTCTTTTATTTTTCTCCAATAATGAAGACTAAGCAACCACTTTATTCGATCACGCGGTAGGAATAAAGTAACTTTTCTAAGGAATTCACCTCAAATACAATCAATTGTATTTCTTTCCAAAGGCATGACTTGCCTCCGCCATAGTTTTGGCCTTTGAACGTTTTGCTCATTTTTCCATACATAATCGATCCTCGAACATGAT